TTTTCAATTAATTACTCATATTCCATTCGTTTTATTGCAAAAAAAACTATGACTGATTCCAATGATAAATAAATCCATCCATCTCATTTATTTTTTTTCCTTTGGGGCACAATGTCTTTGTAAATTCCCAAACTATTTTGCTAAAATCAGTGTCTTAGCAGATTCATGGAGTATTAAGATTAATTGCAACCGATTGTCGCTCAATTTGGCTCAAATTGACTTCTTCTTTTGAAAGCCGGTTCCTTCTAACTCCCTCTCTTTGCATTAAAAATTAATCGTCTACAATCAGTAAACTGAGAATGAATGCATAATGGATGGGCGAATTAACGAGAAAGCAGCTGAATTCTGGGTGTCGAACAAGCAAGTGAATTGAATTTCATTGATAATTCAATAATGCAAATCGACCTGTTATTGACAATACAAAGAGGAATTAGGCCTATAAAAATATGTTTTCACATTTTTTATCCATATGGAAGGCGCAGCCAGTTTTTTCCACGCGTATTATCCCGGTGAGTTCGTAATGATCTCCAAACACATTTCGACACAAAAGCTTTTACGGTAGCATCTTTTAAAGCTAATGGTCCGCGAGTAACAAGAAGACTAATGCCTTCAGCTTCAAACAACCAAATCTCCCTTATATTTAACTTCCCGGTTAAGACGGCGGAATTTATTTTTATGGGCTTTAAAGTAGTTGTAGTTTTGATGCGTCTGGAGAAGAGGAGGCGCTAGGAAAATAGGTGGAAGGGAAACCATTGAGCAATGAAAAAACCGAATATTTCAGGAACTTTTTAAATGCCTTCAACTGGGGGTGGTTTTTTTCCTTTAATAATGTTGTTTAACACCTTAATATGCCACGAAAATAACCAAATCTTCTGAACTTCGAACAGTACAATTAATCTTTTTCCTTAAAAGATTCTTTACAAGAACTGCAGGTAAATCTTGGCAGTTTATATCGGCTATGTTAGCAGAACCACACGTTTTCTGCTCTAGTTGATCATATAGAAACCGAAATTCACTTTATGCGGCAATATTCGATCACGATATGCCCGCTTCATGTGGAAACTGACAATAGGATATGTGAAACCGCACATTCACCGAGCTCCTTTTTATCATTGATATCGTTTTATCACGATGCAGCTGAGAATCGGTTTACTTTCCCCATAACAAAACAATGCAAGAATGGTTTAGATTTCCTTTAGAATACGTGCCCGAACCTCTGTATACATTTTACTCGACTTAAATGTACATATTCTTAAACTATAAACAAATGTATAAATTTACAATACATGGGAGCTTCAAACAAAGACATTTGAATGTGGATGCCAATTGTCCAGCAAAGCCTTTGATAGACTTTAGTCGAATCGCTCAAGATTCCTTCAACGTTACATAAAGCGTAAGAAACAGTTACAATTGCTTTAGAAGCAACTGGAGCCCATTGTGGGTACATGTTCTGGATTCACATTTAAATTCGAAATAATGAGGCTGAATGGTTCCAAAGTCTTGGCAGTTTCCATTATACATCGACAAAGTTTGTCGACGTCCTGATCCCATATATATTGTGCGGACTCCACAATGGAGTTTGTTTATTTTACTGTAGTTGGGCTAATTCGGGGACAATGCTTAAATGTGTATATTTACGGGAATAAACGGTGGAAGAAGTGTACGCTTTATGTCATAATGTTTGATCAGGAGACGGTGAAAGCTACTAAAGGTTCAACAGATCTAAAATATCCAATTCAAGTCCGAGTCAGCTGTAGTAAGGAGTAAGTTGGGCTTAGGCAAAAGTTTGGAAGCATTTTTTGCATCACGGCTTATCACGGAAAATTCACCAGTTTCAGCTAAAATTATTATATTTTGCGTCTAGCAAATATTCAGTTTTTTGTGTGTATTCTGGTGCAGTAAGTTTTTCAAGAGTCCTAAAGATTGTTGTACTAACATTTGCTTTAGTCTGGCAAAAACGTGGTGAATTTCCATATATTTATTGGTTTTCAGACTCCCTGCTTAATGTTTTCGAAGAAACTGCTACATTTTCAGTTTCTTGAACAAACTGACAAAAAGAATGAAATGAGACAAAAAATGACCGAAGGAACAGACAATCACCAAAAGGTCGATGGTAAGCAAAAAATTGGAAGTCAAACAATAAAATGTTGAAGAACAACAGTTGAATCAAGTAGAGAAGCAAAAGTGTCTGTAAAACCAAAAAAAATAGTGGAAAAAATTAAATGCTGAGTATGTAAAAAGTCATCGCCGTCTCAAATATGCTCTGCAAAATGCAAATGTCTCAAAATAACTCTGCATTCACGATGCGAATTAACCAAACTTTCAACAAGAAAGATCACTATATTCAGCTCTCTGAATTTAAAAAAATTAATGGTTTTGTCGTGTTTTCGCCTAAGCCCTTCAAATATCGAAAACTCTACAAAATTTTCATAAATCCTCAACAGATTAGTGAATGAAAATATGAGCCACAATTTTAAAACTTCCTGATTTAAAAAAAAAATGCTACTTTTAAAAATGAATCTAAAAAGAAGCAAATCACACAAAAAGGAACCAAACAACAGACAGTCACTAAAAAACATCAATGGTGAGCAAAAAATCGTAATTAATTCAAACAAAAACCTGTTGAGTAACTACAGTTGAATCAAGTAGAGAAACAAAAGTGTTTGTAACTTGAGAGCAAAAAACAATCGAAAAAAATTCGATTATGTAAGAGGCAGTCGCCGTCTCAAACATGCCTGAAATTCCGCATTCACGTTGAGAATTAACTAAACAATAAAAAATTAATAGTTTTGTTGTGTTTTCGCCCGCGCCCTTGAATTTTCGAAAACTGCAAAATTTCCATAAATCCTCGAATTCAGTAAAAATTTTCATTTTTAAATCCCGCTTTTAAGAAGTCTGTATTGCCAAAGCAACACGAACAATCTGTTTAGAAAAGACTGGCAAATATGAATCTAAAACCCCCTAACTTCTTTAAGTCTATGAAATTGTTTCAGTTCTTTTTCCAGATAACACCAGGCTGTTTAAAAAGAGTTACCAATTAAAACATACTCTGTGTTTACTAATTTTTTAACAATTTCCAGATCATTTGCTGGTTAATTAACAAACCCCATTGAGTGAAATTAAACGGTTTAAAAAAAGTGATGTAAAACTCATTTTACGTTTATTCCAACCATCCGCCAAAGAGCTGGAGTTCATCGGGATGAAATTAAACAGTTAACAAAAAGTGCAAAAATTCCTGCCCGGCTGATAATTAAAAAACTTAATACGCTTCTCTAACTAATATCAGAAGGCATAAATCAATTAACCTTCTTAAGCTGAGAAGCTTTTGCCGTAGAGTAAAGAATTGGGAAATTTATCAGGAATATTTGAACTCCCATGCATATATGGGGAGATGCTGAACTTGGGCGTGTTTAGTTGAAAAGCTTGAAAAATGGACAGATTAAAGCGGGCATTGTATTATGGCTACCTGTGAGCAAGCTGATATATTTTATTATTGAAAATCTACCATTGTCAGGTCGGATAACGTATGTTTCGGGCAGGTAGCTACCCCATAGCGTATTCGTTCGATAAATTATATCGAAAATGGTCAGTAAACGCGAGTCCCATTTCGCTGTCTTCAAAATTCCTTGGAGCGAAAAATGCCGCAGGTGATGTTTCAATGGCTCTCGAAAATGGACTATAGAAAACGCCAACGACGGAAATATAATCCATATAATAGGGCGATTCCTAACAATGGGGTGCCTGACTGACGGAATGCCGACGTCAATTGTTTCCTTAAAAAATCGTGTTTTAGCTCAAAAATTCCAACTTTGTTATGTTGCCCCCATTGAAACCCCACCGTTCATTAATCTTGATTTATTAATAAAATTATTTTGCCCAGAGAATCAAGATTCCTCCATAATTCCTTGGGCAAAATGGCCTTTTTTCACTCAACTCGCTACCAGTCGCTTAACGGTAAAACCGGATAGTCGCGGTCGGAATGAGAGTTTCAACTAATTTTAATCAAGCCTGCAAATCGAAGACGTATCTAGAGGGCTAGATGCTGCGATAATAAGCAAATGTTATTTCACTGTATTCAAGATTGCTGATAATTATGGGCTTTCAATCGATTTGAAAAGGATGCAGATGCCTGAAGAGTTTATGAGCAGTTGCTGATGTTGATGATGACGGGTTTGCTAGCTGGAAAATTTGGAAAACCGAGCACGTTTCCCACTAGGTATGTATCAATGAAAGTCGTTGACTCGCATCAATAAATATGCATCGGGCAATTTGTATTTACACGATTCCGAACAATGTCATCAGCATGACAACAGTCCGGGCCAAATTCATTGATAAAACATCACGTTTCGTCTACCTTTACACAGAAGCTGCCGTACACCTTCTGAATTAATTTCTGCTCCGGACCTGCATATTGAATGGGCCTCCCATGACCGGACTCTGCCCCTAGTGAATTTAGATTCGCTCGCCAAGTTTGTTCGATTATACGTCCAGTTTGTCCCCAACTTGAATAAGTAATTTCCCACATCAAAACTTTGTTTGTTTTGCTCAAATAGTTTTGATTTTTGTAGGTTTTTAGTAGGAGATTTTTTGACGATTGTAGATTTCCGTTTGAAATTATGGAATGTAGTGGTTTAGAATGCAGCAAAACGCTTGAGAAAATATGTATTAGGCGGTTTTAATAAAATTACTCTTCAAAGTTCGGTTTTTGCGAATAAACTGCCACTAGTTTCCTCCTTCAGTAGAGTGGAGTTTTTAGTTCTTTATCTATTGGTGGCGAAAGGAGCCCTGTAGCTCAAATGGTTACTGAACTGTGAGCAGAAAGTCGTGTTTGAGCCAGATTTAGGCGAAACAAAGTAGAGCTAAAAAGTATGTAGAAATTTTGCTTTTTGTGTGCGACCTGGCAATATTTTACCGCTGATATTTTACGTGGGAAATGTGCTGTTTAATTATCTTTCAATGGGTGCAAAAATGAGTGCGCTACCCTAAATGTTTTGTGAGATATGAGCGAAAAGGCGGCGTTGTATTTGAGCAGCCAGTGGACCGATTTTGACGAAAAAAGTGTAATGCTGAAAGGTATGATCCAGTTTCTCTTCTTCTGTGAAAAGTGTCTATATTTTCAAAGCGCTGTTTCACGTGGCAAGTGCGTTATTTAATTATCTATCCAGTGGTGCAAAAACGAGAGCGCTAGCCCTATTTTTTCTAGAGATATGCGCAAAAAGGTGGAGTCATGTTTGAGCCAATGTTCCGATTTTGGCAAAAACAGAGTAAAGACAAAAATGACGTTAACATTTTTTTCTTATGTGAGAACTGATATTTGCAAAATATTGTCTTACATAGTAAATGTGTTATTTAATGCTCGATCTAGTGCTGCAAAAATTACCGCGCCACTTCAATTTGTTCTTCAGATATGAGCAAAAAGGCCACGTCCTTTTGCGTAAAGCTGCAAACTATGTGGAAGTTTTGCTCCTGGTGTAAAAACTGTGGATATTTCCAAATCCATGTTTCACATGGTTAGTGTGTTATCCAATTATTTATCCAGTGATGCATAAATGAGCGCACAAGCTGAATGTAGTCTTGAGATATGGGCAAAAACTTCATCACACTTTGGCCTTATCTTGGCCAAATATGTGATATTAATATTTCGCTCGTTGCTTGAAAATTGCCTCTATTTTCTTGCTCAAATTTCCATTGGTAAATCGGGTTATTGATTCTATATCCATTGGCAGGAAAACGGCATCTGTGGCTCTAAAGGTTTGTGAAATTTGACAAAAAATTCCGCGTTTTTTAAGGCGATTTTGCAGGTTTGCGCAGCGCGTAAAACTAAAAGTTTAGTAAGAATTTCCCTTTTAGTGTGCAAACTGCCAATATTTACCACACAGTAATTCACTTTACAAATGAGTTGGTTCATGCTCTATCCAGTGGGGTGGAAATTAATGTTTTAGCTCAATTTGTTGCCGGGAAATGAGCAAAAAGATGAAGTCATGAATAACATTTTCTATGAAACTCAAATTTTGCTTTTTGTACAAAAACTTGTTTCTCAAGTGAAGTTTTAAGTGGTCAATGTGTTATTCAATTCCTTATCCAGTGGTGTAGAAATTAACTTGTGAAAAATTAGCGAAATAGTGGCGTCTTGTTAAAAGCAATAACCTTATCTTGTATCATATTCAAATTCCACTTTTTGTATGTGACTCTGTTTTTTTAAAATCTATTACAAATTAAGTATTTTTACCAAACACTAAAACTGGTATTGACCATTGCTGGTAAAAGTGAGCACATTTAATTCGTTCAACAAGGCGTTAAAACATGCAGCTTAATTATGCTTCCATAAGGAATGGGATCAAAAAAAATTCAATATAAAAACGTGAGACCTTTTCATGATGCCCACTTTGCATAAATACGTAATTACTTATCATTCCGGCCGCAAAACGTTAATTTCTTCGCGTAATCTGTCAGTGCCTTAAGTTTCCATTCAGGTCACGTTTTCCCGGTTGGAAAAATTGGTAATTGTTAGCAACTCCATGGCCGAATACTGATGAACGTCTCACGTTCTAGTCAAATTGGTTTGCGAATCGCCCTTAGTAAACTACATTTTTTTCCGAACCAACAAACCAGATTACGCTACTCAAGTTTGACTTTAAACTCCTTAAGAGGATTAGGATGGTTTAAAGGGCATTCAACTTTCGTTGGGCATTCGAGGACGCTTTCCATTGTCGTTTAAGGAACCTTTCCCTGTTACCAAAAAACCTAATCAAAATTCTCCACCACATGATATTGATCACGTTTGTTATGGAAGTTAATCAAAATGCTTCATTGTTCATTCAACATTAACTTGTAAATGAGTGCCGAATGTTTTAAAATCTCCCTATGGAAAACGAAAATCGGATATAATAGAGCATGCTTCACTCCAGATACTGCAAAGGCTGTTAACGTAAATCCCGCGGGCATTGGCTGGTAATCATTTCTGCCGGTTTGGAATTATTTCGGGAAAACGGGATATTAAAAGAGAACGGTCTCGGGAATAATCAAAATGAAGTCGGATATGTGGGGCGCAATGCATGTTTAATGGTGCGGATGACCCCATTTTTCTCTCGGGTGTCTTTTAATGGGGTCCAGTCGGGGCGAACCTAATTAAAGTACTAAAAACTAAGAATATCCATCACTCATCTGCCGAGCTTGAAAGAGAACATTTTTATATAAACCAACGTTCCCGAAGGAGCAATAAGCCGCGGAGTGATTCGCTTATTTAAAAAAATGACCTTCCAGCCTTTATAAACCGCGCTTGTTTGCTCCCGACTCGAACGAACTTTTACATTCTGTCCAATTTAACTTCTCCAAAATCGGATTCCCTCTGGATTGACGATCGCCAGAATTCAATCAACCTTTAATCGTCAAAAAGCGATCTTCTTTTTTGTAGCACAAATCCACGGTTTTCGCATACATCACGAACTTGTTAATTGCTTCGTTTACGTTTACCAAACAAACATCAGGTATTGAGGATTGCTATTGATTTTTCGGTTTTTCATAGTTAGCTTTTTCTGTGGTTCTGCGACCAATAACCAACATTGCTGATTTTCAAAGTATTCGCAGTTTACTGTGTTTATTCACTGTTCGTTTTCTGTATTATTTGCACAATTAGCTAATACTAGGAATGGTTGAATTTGATGTTTTGTGGAACTTTGTTCAGTAGTTATAGTTGCTCTTTTAGGCCGACTTGGTGCAGATGATCAGGAATAACAGGCTCAGGACGGGAATACTTTGGGCAATTTACGCTCAAGACAGCAGAGTTGTTTTCTATAAAAATCCGAAATTGCATCTGCCTGGCGCCTTTGGTTTGAATTTTACGCGTTTTTAAGACAATCGAGCACAGTTAAAGTTGAAGATTCTAATATTAGCATAGACCTCAATAGAAAATACATTTTGTGAAGCCTTAAAGGTCCCAGATTGAAACACACAGGAAAGCCCTCACTACTATCCAAGAAACATCGGAAACTTTTGAGATTTTGGGGGTTTTTGCGCGTCATGAAACTAAATTTCTTCCTGACGTTTCGCAAGCACAAGTGCATCTTCAATGAATTTATCGTATTTTGACAAAACTAAGCGCTTCTTTCGCCTTCGGTTTCTTCAATCCAAACAATCCGAACATTACTTGAGGTGGTCGACACAACTTTTCCCTTAAACCTAAGAAGTTTCAACAGTGAATGAAAAGTCTGTAAGTGTAGAAGTTGTGCCGAGCCCTCCGGGCACGACACTAATTGTAGAACCCCAACAAACTATTTTTTAATGAGTTTTCACTCTCTTCTTTTCAGGCAGTGTCGTGCTTTGGGGGCTCCGCACAACTTTGAGAAATTGCACTAAAAAACTTTTGAAATCCCAAAGCTTCGAACTTTTGGCCATATCCAAAAACTCTTGTTGGAGGCACTACGTCTAACTTTTATATATTGATAATTTATATCGTTTTTTCCAGTCAACACCCAGATCTTTGAAGGTTTCATGAGCTTTACGTAAAAATACAATTTTCCAATACGAAATTGCTTTCCAAGATAAATTTAAAAATCTGACTGGGCGCTGAAATAAGGTGAAATTGAATCAATTATGCTTTGTGCTAAACGAGTTCGCCTTCAAGACGGAGGCCTTTAGTCACATTAAATTGGAGGATTCTGATTTTTGGGCCCCGATTGAAATAGAAATAACTTCGCCGTTGATGGCAACGGAAATAAATATCCATACAATTCAATGAAACCTTCTGCAGCTAGTCAAAGTTAACTATCTCGTTAGCGTATTTAAAAAACGGGTTTAAAGCTAATCCGAAAGCCTTTTAAATGAGCTCGTCTCGCTGGAATCCGCAAATGTTCAGATTTTGCCAACTAAATTGCTCCTTATACTGTATAAAACGATCTCCAGGCCAATTAGTTTGCCCTAATTGGAACTGTGTGTTACACTTTTCCATGTTATTGCCTAATTTCGAGCGTAGGACCGATGGCAGGGCCCGATAAGGGTTAGTTTAAAGTCGAAATTGCCGGCAATCTTAATTGAAAGCTTGTAAATCGCGACCATGTGAAAAGTGGATCTTTATCGGCGCTCCTAAATCTTGCGTTATCATAAAAAGCAGCATTAAAATGCAAAAGACCTATGAGGCCCTGAAGGCAAAGTACTTCAGGAAGGGTTTTCCCATTTTGGCATGTCTGAGGATTTTACGAGAAATGTAAATCACGCTTTCTCGGAAATTTGCGCCATTGATGAGCCAGATAGGGGACAGGAGTTGGACACTCGTTTTTATGTAAAAAACACTTGAGTAAAACGCGATTGCAGCAAAAATGTGGGTGAACCAGCGGCGGTTTCTCAATAAGGGCACATGCATACTCCCAAATTTTGATTTATTTCTGCTGATAAAAATGCAATAACATTTTTAATCAGCAATTACCGTTTCAAGTTCTCTGCAATTTATTTGATTAGACTGAAAATTGGAAAAAAATGTTCGAACAAAGTTGAAAAGTAAAAAACAGCAGAACGAGTGAATGAAACCTAAAACGCCATCGTACATCCAGATGGTTTGCTCGCTAATCTTTGAGCAATTGAACGGTTGTTTGAGAAGAAAAATATCGCCTATGTCTCAGACCCCCGAAGGAATTAATATCGGAGACTGGAAACAATAAAACTTTTCTATAATCCGATTTATATGAACGTGCTCCATAAATATGAGCTTGAAATATTCGCAAATTTCCCCATACCCCACGAACAAGGCAATTCCGAATTCATGAACCTTCGCGATCGGGATTTCTTTTTATTGGTTATTGCCAGATTTGACAAGGTTTATGGAACACAGAGCGCGATTCGGTGCCAGAAATGGCACGTCCGTAGTCACCCGTAAATATATCCAGGATTTAGCGTATCTGGAATTACTATTTGTTGAGCAATAAATAAATGCGGGGAATTACACGAAGAAGTGCCACCGATTTCGGTTTAGAGTGCAGTTTACGGGTTTCTTCATCTGTTCGCTTTTATAGTCCCGATTTCGTCTCTGGCACATTATCGAAGACGTCTATTTTAAATCATCTATTTTACATGTGTGGATT